TTGGCCCGATTGTATAGACATTTAACTAAATCTATCCTCACCGATTCTGGATGGGTTTCCTATAAATGCTAGTATCTAACCCACCATCTTGTTTTCGTTTATCGATTGAACATCGTACAGGTGAAGTCGAATTGACGCAATGCCTATATCGGAGATGTGGAAAGTTGCAGCAACATCCAGCGCCAATCACCATCAACGGGAGGGATTTGAAAGAGGTTACTTCATTCACTTATCAAGGGAGCATTGTCTCAACTACAGGCACATGGAACGGACGAGGATGTCAAATCGAGAATCGGTAAGGCGAGAAACACATTCATCAAGCTGAAACCAATCTGGAAATCTTCGTCACTCACCATCATCAACAAAATTCGGATTTTCAATACAAACGTCAAGTCAGTCAGTTCTTCTATACGGATGGATCAGAAACTTGGCGGGTCACAAAGAATATTTCCAACAGCCTGTTGCAGACCTTATCAACAACAACTGTCTTCGCTCTATACTCAAGATCAGATGGCCGGAAAGAATCACCAACAAGAAACTATGGGAACAAACAAAACAAGGATCAATCGCCCAACAAATATACAGGAGAAAGTGGAGATGGATTGGACACTCGCTGAGGAGGCCGTTGGGTGACATGGCGCGTCAGGCCATTACTCGAGTGGAACCCGAAAGGGAAGCGGCAAGTGGGACGTCCAAGGTTGACATGGAGGAGATCGTGTGATGAGGAACTGAAACAGTATGGACTAACATGGATGCAAGTGAAAAGTACAGCACAAGACAGAAGCAAGTGGAGGCGTGCAGTTGGAGCCGTATGTTCCACTAGGAACCCAAGGGAACAAATAATAATAATAATAGAGAGGAAAATATATATGTAAGACAAACTATGAAGCCGTATGATTAAATTGATATGATTATGAGCAACAATTCGCTCCCGAAACTTCATCATCTTATTTGGAATTATATTCTATCAAAGTGTTCAAGTTTTTTGCGCTTACATTAAAGTTAACTAAAATTTCTCTGCAATCATACTTTTTGTGGTAATCAAATGGCAGTGTTTTACTTAAAGGTGATCAGTTAAAGGTTAGAATTTAAACGAGTTATTTAATGCTCACAGAATTAGAGAAAATGGAGGTAAATGGCTGTCGTTTATATTGCATAAGACAGCGAGTATCTTTCCTCACTCCCTACCGAGTGAATCCCCTTCGACCACAACTTTTCACTATAACTCCAACCAACTTCGTCCTGTAGTAGTCAGTCACTAGCGAGCATCACGAATTGGTAAAAGTTAGAATTGATAGCCTGGCCTTTCAGTTGGGTCCGAGTGGCTGAATGGTCTAAGACTAGAAGGCCATGAGTTCGAACCCCAGTCAGGGTAGATGCGTACTGGCTATGAGTCCCAAAATAGGCTGACGAGACAGCTGTTGAGTACTCCAGCGCTGATTTCCAGTGGTTCTCTAACCGACATCAGCTCGTAGCCAAACTTTAAACAAATCAAATGGCTACGAGCAAACTCTTAATAAATGAATACTAAAGTTAGAAACCATGGCCAATAGGATTTCAACTCTGTGTTTGAACATTACAGGTCTAGGAGACAGTGTCCTATAGTGGATCCTATATGGATCACAGCAAAACAGTTCTTCTCTTCAGTGCTTCTTCTATCTTGTTCACAAACTTGTATTGAGACGGATTAATATTCTAAAATCAGTCCCGTCGATTTATATTATTGGAAGTGTACCACTGGTGTGGAATTTAGAATGCACATTTCATCCTATTTGGGACTTGTCAGCTGGATGCTCATCCATTCCAAGTGATTCACGGTATTCTCACTGAGGCTTGAACGTATCACATAGGACCAGACTTGCCTCCTTCTTTAGCTAAACCGCTAAAGATATTTATCACAGAATGTCAACTATGAACTGTATGAAACTTTTTCAAATGCGATAAGAACAAGAGATGACTTATTCTGTCTTCAAATGATTTTCTTGTCATCCAGTTTTGTCTCCATTCGTTTTTGTTGTTTGTATTTTTTTTGATTATCTGCTTGCCAAGCTTCTTTTACTATTTACCGTTTTTCTTGTCACCAGTTTCACAGTAGAGTTAACCAGCTGGCTTTACTGCTTTTCTCAAGAAGACACAATGAAGCCACGTATATCTTACCGTTATCTGACATTATTGTATCAGAACTGGTCTTATCTGTTTGTTATTTTGTTTGTTCTTTCTCTCAGTTGGAATACAACTAACTAACTAACTATATTTAGAACAGAATATTGAATTACAGTCAACTGGAGCATATACAGTTGACAGATGAGACATAATCGGTTGATACTCTGTGTCTGCCTTCCCCTCTCTATCTCTCTCCCTCTCTAACTCCATCCATTCATTCCACCAGCCTTCCCTCCCTCTGGATTGTATTCGTATGTGTGGAAAAGAATAGCATAAGCGTAAAATATATTTTTAATTAATTAACAAAGACAGCAAACACAACTCAGTGTAACTGTAACTCGACATTAAAATTTTTACACTTTTTTTGTTCTTTCTCTTCCCCTTTCGAAAAAACAAAACTAACTCAAACAGTCTGTTGATGGAATAATTTGTAAAATATTCAAATCAAATTCACCGCTGGGAAATTGGTTGACAATTTGAAATCTAGACAGTTGGAAAAATGGTGAAATCTCATAGTAGTTCCCTCCGGAAAACAAGTTATTCAGGTGACGAGGATATGTGATCTGCCTGCTTGATATCATAAATATGGTAATCAAGAAAACAAGCATATTTGCAGAAAAAACTATATACTACTGATTAGTCGAGATGAGTAGCTAGCCTGCAATGCTAACTGGTTAACCGGATCGGGATGACCTAAACACCAAACCTCTTTTTCGTTCATTAGGGGATGAGTTCATCATCGGAAGATTGTGTTCGACATTTTATGTAACCTCAATTCAAACAATACTTCAATCACGAATATTGATATTTGTACAAAATTTCCAGATTTTAGCTCTTTGGCAGTCAATTCTTTGTAGGGTAGATCTAGTCACAAACGAATATTAGAAGATAACTGGTGGATGGTGACTAGCAGTGGAGTCCAGGATAACGTGCACTTCGACCTATTTGGTACTCGCCAGCTGGATGTACCTGTATTCCCCAGTGAGTGATGGTCTTCCCACCGAGGCTCGAACCCAGTGTCCATAGTTTCGACATGTCATCCAGAGATCGGTCCAGTCAGTCGACGGGAAAATCTAAAATTGAATTAAATAATTAATATGACCCATTGCACAAGAGACAGTGGCTCTCGTGGCCCAAGTGGTCTAGTGGATAATGCTTTGGCGTTTGAAACTATGGAAACTGGGTTCGAGCCTCGGTGGGAACATCATCACTCACTGGTGAATACAGGTACATCCAGGTGGCGAGTCGCAAATAGGATGAAATGTGCGTTATCCCGGATTCCACTGCTAGTCACCATCCACCAATTGACTTCAAGTTACATGAGCAGACATCGTCGAAGCATCTGCACAAGGAGCCGATATGTCAACCTGAGACTGACCACTTCGGTGCAATCAATCGACGGGAAAATCTAAAATTGAATTAAACAAACCAATATTAGTTGGAAAATTAGGGAAAAAAAGGGAGTACTAGAGAACTTATACGTAGGACCGATAAGAAGACTCTAGAAGATCTGGTTTTCACAGACGGTTTATGTTTAATATCAGGCAAACTCGAAGCTTCACAAGTGAAAAAGAACAAGTTGCCAGGAGATACAAGCAGCAAAGACAGGACTTCAGGTGAACAAAGAGAAAGAGAAGGTGATGAAGATAACCAACCAACAGCAGTAGCAACAACAAGCACCAATCATTATTAACGGGAGGAATTTGAAACAGATCACCTCATTCACTTATATAGTAAGAATTGTTTCAACCACAGGTATTAGACACCGGTTAGAATGTTAAAGCCAGTCAGGATCAAAAAGGCATGTCAGTTAGATCTTCATAACTCTGAAATCATCTTGAAAATCTTCTGCACTCAGCTGTCATGAACAATAGAATTCGGATTTTCAATACCAATGTCGAGTCAGTCAGTTCTTGGATATGGGTTAGAGACTTGGTGCCCACATCACGGAAATCACTTCCAATAACCATATTCGTTGGCTCAATATTGAAGACCAAATGGCTGGTGAGAAAGAATTAACAGCGAACAAGGAACTCTGTGAACGAACCAAGCGTGTAGAAGAAACTGGAGATAGATCGGATACACGCCAATGAGGAAATCGTCGAATGACATCGCGAACAAGGCCATGGCTCTAGTAGAACCTGAATGGAAAATAACTAGTTGTGATGTGCAGAAGATTGTTTGGAGAAGACAGATGAGAAACTATGGGAAATCGTGTGGCCAGGGGAAGAGGACCTCAGAGAATAGGATGAAGGGGGTATGTGCTGTTGAAGCTGTATGCTGCACTCAGAATCTAAGGGAATAACAAAAATAATTTTAAAAAATGCAAACTGGAGAACTTCTTCCTATTCTTGGACTCTTCAGTATCGCTGATTTCATTTCCAGTCAAAAACAGGATCTTTAGGTTACTAAGTTAAGGCGTCACAATTCAACAGTTACTCCTATCAGTTCCTGATACATCATTGGAAAAGGTCTTCATCGATGTACACACTTGCTGTGAGACAGTCCTGTTATAAAGCAACCAGAATCCTGACCTCCTAGTAGTCATATTGCAAACACTATCGTTAAATTTCTATCGAAAACCTGAAGGATTGTTGATTTAGTAACCAATTCGAATGCAGTTTATCTTAGCAACACATGTAATCTGTGTACTGAGTGAAAAGCCTTTTAAATGTTATACAAAATGCCTCACATTTCTATCTTATTTTTTAACAAAAATAGAATAAAATTGCAGTTAACACTTATTTAATTTTTATTATTTTTTTTAAATTTTCATTTCTAGTCAACTAATCAACAGTTTCAATGAATGGATATTAAGACAATTTGATTCGTCGAATATGACTATTACCACAGCCTGGAACAACATGATACATAGGTCCATGTGTATAACAGGTAAGATTATCGTTCTTATATATATGTATATATGTATATGTATAAATGTGGACAGGACTCGAACTGTCAGCCTCCAGATGACCCTCTAGGCCTCAACCTTTCTCTCACCTTCAATCATCACGCATTATTTTTGTTAATAATGTTATTTTTATAGCTTATTTCCATGCTTTTATGTACCTAGATGTTATGGTTAACAGTGTTTGATATTAGAATCCCTGATTGGACGCTAGTTAATAACTATTGTCGTGTGTCAAGTCCTTTGTCTAACCACTAGGTGGCTAGACATCGTAGCCAATTGCCTCAAACCATCAAATATTAGAATCTGTAGGAATTTTAACGATTAGCTCTCGATAAGCTTCTGAGAGAGACACGTATTAAGGTGTCATATGGAAAAGTTTATGAGCAGTGGCTTAGACTATACTGAGTGTAGCAATAAGAATACAAGGTTAAGTTGTTGGGTTTATGATAGTTTAACTGTTTTCAGCAAAATGATAACAACTAGATCAATTAACTTGTGAAGAAACATGGAGCATTACTGAAGCTCTTTTTGTCTTTTGGCAGTAGGCGACAACAACAGTTTCGAGGCGCTTCTTCCAGCCTAAGTCAATTTTCAAGAGTTTCTTTGCAGGAATTTGATTTGTTTGAAGTATGCTCACCTATTGGTATCAGTTACAGAACTAATGAAGTCCAGCAATGCAGTACTGGACAGCTTTCTCATTAGCTGAGGACTCATTAGAAGGATACATTCATCGCCAGGATTCTGACCCAGGAGCTTCCTATTCAGTCACTGGGACCTGATTCAGTGTCCAGCTAATGAATTCGAATTTCTACCAATTCATGACTTCTTTAAGAGCGACTGGTACCAGCCACTGTCATCCGTGGCGAGTATTTATCCTCACTTCCGACTGTGTGGACCCCACTGGTCACAATGTCTCATTAGAACTCCAAGCAGGCAACTTCATTCTGCAACCAGTCACTTGTGAGCATCGCATCCAGTGTTATTATTTTTATCTCAGTCATGGAAAATAACTATTATAATCTATTGTTCTACACTCCAGTTGACTTAAACGGCTTTCATATTGTACAAATTTTCCTTAATACACTCTGACTCCAGTGAAATCAAAAAGAAGAAACTAGTGGTCTGTCCTCGTGGCAAAACTAACAGACCTTTTTAAGTTGGCAACTTCGAAGCACCAAACATGTATACTGCTATATCCAGAATTTTGTCATCAATCTCTTTTCGATGAAACATCAGTCTGTAACATATGCTGTATTATATTATTACTTTTATTGTTCCCTTGGGTTCCGAGTGCAACATACGGCTTCAACAGCACACATCTACTTTTTCCTATCCACTGTAGTCCTCTTTAACTAGCCCAACAAATACCCATATTCTCTCATCCCCTCCTCCTCCCCAAATGATCTCCTCCATGTTACTGTCGGACGCACGCCCAACTCATCGTCTCCCATTCTGGGCCCACTCGACCGATGGTCTGGTTCACTATGTCATTCGACAGTTGATTTCTGATTAACGCATTTGTGTATATTACAGTTGTTATACATAAAGAATGAAAACGAATTAAGAATAAAGGGTATGGAAAGCCGGGTAGCGATCAATGACTGCCCTTATCCATTTCGCATTTCTTAGCATTTGCATTTTTCAGGTATATGAACAAATAAAAGGAACACCAATAGGATTGCCCATATCAGGATTAATAGCTGAAGCCGTTATGCAGAGATAAGAATTAATAGCTCTACCTATAATTAAACCGAAAATCTGGGTACGTTACGTTGATGATACATTTCTAATGTTTGAGAGAAATGATTTAGAATATACCCATATATTAATAAACAACATATTTTAAGACACCAAATTCACAAGAGAACAAGAATTACATAACAAAATCCCATTTTTAGATGTCTTAATCAGGAGAACCAACACAGGAAATTTAGAAACACAAGTATATAGAAAATCAACGCACACATATCAAATACTCAACTATACTAGCAATAATCCAGTTACTCACAAACGAAACTGTGTGCAGACATTGTTTAAAAGAATTCAAACACACTGTAGCATTCCAGAGTTGAAAAGAATGGAAGAAAAATACCTACAAACGGTCTTCAAAAAGAATGGTTATCCACAAAATTTCATCAAAAAGTGTTTAAAGTCGAATCAAAACATCAACAAGGAACCATCATCAAAGACCACAAGAAAATTCATTCTACCATACATGAGAAATATCTCTGAAATAACAGCTAGAATACTGAAACCGTTTGATATAGATACAGCATACAAGCCAGTAAAATCGCTTAATTCGATATTATGCAAACCAAAAGATCCAACAGAAAAAGTAGATAAAATTAATACCATTTACAAAATAAATTGTATGAACTCCAACAGGCATTACATCGGCCAAAGTGGGCGTTCCCTTCGAATCAGAATCCAAGAACACAAATCAGCTGTGAAAAGACACGATATGTATTCTTTAGTATCAATGCATATAGACAATTATGGTCATCAATTTGATTGGGATAATGTCAAAATCTTAGACAGAGGAAACACCAAAAGTGCAGTCAGGGAATTCCTAGAAGCCTGGTACTCAAACGAAAATGCAATTAACAAGCACGTTAATATAGACGAAATATGCCAACTAATAAAAAGTAAATCAGGTGACCAGAAAGTTCAAAATCCAAGTCAATAGAAAATGATCAATACAGATGTAAAGATGGTTACCGGGAGACGTAATTATATCACTCATGAAGAAATTTAAATCATTTCACTTTATGCTAAATATTGCGCTGAAAATGTTGTCCAGAAGGACGACGAAAGCTCCGCAACTAAACCAACCAGCTCAGAGAACACTATTAATTGCAAATCATCCACCTGAGCTACAAATCTTCTCTATTATTTCTTAGCATACTTAATATTCGATATTGGAAAACAGATTAAAATAGTTAGCTCCTGTAACTTTCACCTAGTATCAAATTGGTGTCCGTGATTGTCTACATGCATCGATATAAAAGAATACAACAATTCGTGTCTGTTCACAGCTAATTCATGCTCTTGGATTCTGATTCAAAGAGGAGGCCAACTTTGACAGATTTAGTGTTTATCGGGTTTCATGCATGCAGTTTATTTTGTTAAATGGTGTTGATCTTATCTTCTTTTTCTGTTGGATCCTTTGGTCTGCATAATGTTATTGACTGAGGTGATTGTGTTGCATGGCTTGTGTGCTATGTCTTTTTCAAATGGTCTTAGTATTCTAGCTGTTATTTCGGAGAGATACTTTATATATAACCAGAAAGTTCAAATTCCAAGTCAACAAAAATGACCGATGGAGAGGTAAATTAAGAAACAACGAATGATGACAACGGCTGTCAGGAGATACAATTAATTATATCATTGTTCATTGAGAAATGAATCAAATAAGTTCTTTTCATACTAAGACTTGCTCTGAAGGTGTTGTCTAGAAGGGGGAAAATGAAATCTTCGCGATTAAATCAACCAGATGAAGCAGGGAACACAACTAAATCAAAAATATTAAATCATAATTAATTGGAGCTTCTTGCTTCTGGTCTTTTGTCACATTGCCAACCACTTACACCTTATGGTGTCTGTCACTTTATAGTCCGTAAACAGCTGACAACCAGAATCGTAGACTACAGTATCAGACGCCATCGGTTAGAAAACGTCATGTTAACTTTAAGATATCTCTGAAGCACCCATACTACCTGCCAACATCGTCAACAGAGACTATGAATTTTGACCCAATAAAATCTGTCAGCCGGAAATAGAAAATTACTTCAACAATTATCTTCATTACCAAGTCTTATCCTCTGGAGTGAATCCTTCATTTTGAACATAACTGACACATCTCTTGTTATCAGGTGTTGGTTGGCAGAAACTTGATCGGTTACAGGTTTGGTCACAAGTTGACATCAGTTGGAGAACCACTGGAAAACTTAAGAGTACTGGATAGTCTAGATATGATGGAGAAGATTTGTAGCTCAGGTGAATGATTTTGATGTGGTTGTGTTCTCTGAGCTGGATATTTAATTTGCGAAGCTTTCATCACCCTACTAGGTGATATCTTCAGCGCATACTTCAATCTGAAGTGAGCTTTTAGATTTCTCCACGAGTTTATCAATCATCTCTCCCGGTGACCTTGGAGGTGATTGGTTGTTTTTGTATGTTTTCACACCTTCTAGGTTACTTGTATTGGAACTGATTGTTTTTTTACTTGAACTTTGACCCTTTGTGTGTGAGGTTTCTTTCTTATTGGTTGATAAATTTTGTCCATCTCGATGTGTCTATTGATTGATGATTCACTATAATACCAGGCTTCTAAAATTCTCTAGCGTTCTTGGTGTTTCCTCTGTCTAATAATTGAACTCTGGTTGTCCCAGTCGAATTGATGTCCGTGGTTGTCTGTATGTAGTGATATGAGGGAGTGGATACCATATCTTTTGACGGCTAGCTTATGTTCGTGGATACGAAGACGAAGGGGACGTCCACTTTTTTTCGCAGTTGATACAATCTATTTTGTAGATGATGTTGGTTTTATCTTTCTTCGTTGTTGAGTCTTTTAGGTTGACATAGAATTGAGTGAAGTGACTTTGTTGGTTTGTGTACGACGTCAATTCCTAATGGTTTGAAGAGTCTTGCAGTGATTTCTGAGATGTCTTTTATAGATGGTAAGACGATTTTCTTTGTGCTTTCCTTGGAGGCTTTTGGTTTGATAGGTTGGCTTGGGGGTATATATCTTTTGATGAAATTCCGTGGATATCCATTCTTTTGGAAGACGTCCATGAGATATCTATATTCAGTTTTCCTTAAGGTTGGATGGTATTTTTGTCAGCCTCACACCCGCAATCCCAAAGCGGATAGAGTTCAGGATCTTGAGGTTAAGAGACCAAGCTCTTTTACCGTTAAGATACCTGGACCTGTGCGTCGGTGGTATAGCGGTTAGGACGCTCGCCGAACATACACATGGTTC